GAGTCTTTTCAAGTTCTTTAGACTTTGCTTCCTGGTGAATGGCACTACCGCGGTTTTGTCTGAGTTGATACTCATCCCGACAGTTCTGAGCAATATTTCAGTTATACGGAGTCTTCTTTGGATAATATCACACAGGGAGCCTTCATGTTTCCCCCGAGCGATCATGACTATGTCATCTGTATACTATATGCAGTGTGTTCCCGATAGAGTTAATTTGTCTAGTAGTTCATTCACTACCAAGCTCCACGGTAGGAGGGAGATTACTCCACCTTATGGAGTTCCTTGAGTTGTTTTAACAACTTTACAACTACAATTTTGGTACCCATCTCAGCCTTTGCTGTCCGTGTTGAGAGCATTTCCAAAAACCAGCGAATTATCGTTCTGTTCATCCCTCCTGTTTCTAGAGATCGCTGACTACCTTGTGAGGTATATTATCAAACGCCCCCACAATGTCCAAATGGATTGATATGGACGCCATCTGCTTTTTTTTTCTGTCATCGTCTGTCAAAATCTTTCCTAAGTGGTAAAATAAAGTAAACATATATTTTTTAATATCTAATCATCATGTGAAAAGTTAAAAAAATATTGTAAAAAAATGAGATATTTTTTACTCGCGTTGTTTTCACTGCATCAATAAAACAGATAAAAAATACTAATAACTCCAAATAATAAAAAAATTAGAAAATTTCGAAGACACAGTCCGTCTCTATCTTCAATCTGATGCACTCACTGGCTCGTGATCACACCAGGCACGGTTTTAGCTTGTGCTCTTGTTTGTTTATTTATTAATACTCGATGATTTTCGTTTCTTTTTTTAGATTTTTCTCGGTCGAACGTTGTTGGCTACCCAGCGCTACTAGCTGCATTTTTCGACGATTCAACATTATCTCTCTTTTTCTGTTATGTTAATTAGGCACGTTAATTGGCACAACAATTCTCGATGTTTACCATACTGCAAAGAGCAGCCTGATTGCAGCGCTTATTATTTTTGGTAGCGCAAGGTCACCGGATCTCTTAAAAACACCGATCCAAAGCATGGTTGGCATTTTCAAACCAAGTCATTTACGTAGATTTAGTTTAGTAGCGTAATTTTGAATATGATTGAGTTTCCTCCGTAACTACTCCATGCTAACTTAATTCTTCTGTTGATTTCTGGTAGTAGAGATCCCGAGCTCTGTATTAGTTGTCCCAAATATAACTATTCTTCTACTATTTCCAGTGTTGTGTTATTTATTAGAATGTCTTTTCTTTCCACTAATTCGTTGGACATTACTTTAGTTTTTGCTAAATTTATTTTGAGACCAACTTTATTGCTGGCTGTATTTAGTTCATTAATTTGTGCTTGTAGTTATTTAGGTGAAATATTATTCCAAATTGTTGTCAGAGAACAGACCTGAGTATCAAGAACCGCCACAGCCAGAAATAAACATTGAAGGAGAGGAAATCTACGTGGATACCAACAAAATAAAGACCGCTATAATGTCTTTAAAGAATGGAAGAGCATGTGGCCCAGAGGGAGTATATGCGGAACTCATAAAATCTGGAAGCGAAAAACTATTTAGAATGTTAACAAACATAGTTAACCAGTGCTTAAATGGTCATCCAGTACCTGAACAGTGGAAAAAAGCATATATCTCCTCTATATATAAAAAGGCCTCAAGGAAGGATCCCAATAACTACAGAGGAATTTCGGTCACCAGCACTATGAGTCGCCTCTATGGAAGCATACTGAGGAACTTAATTGAAGAGGAATACTCCAGCTACGAAGAAGAAGAGCATAACTCAGTAATTTTTCGAAGAAAACATATTTTAACTTATATCGCTGAAAAGCTTAAAAAATGGCGCTTTTTCTGAAGCCATGGCCAACTATGGTTTCCATTTAAAAAAACATATGTTTGTGTCATATGTCAAAAATGACAGGCTTTAGAAGAAAACGGAGGGCACAGTCTCATTATGGATGTGATTATCTACAACTTTTGTCTGAAAACTTTTTGTCTAAAACAGCTTATAATGGAGTTAGGGACAATTTTTAAAATAGCCGAAATTTGTTTTTTCCGAAATATCTAGTAAGCCATGAACTTTTTCAAAAATCTGAAAGGCGCATATTTATGACCCCACAAAACTGCAATTCTTTCCCCATTTAACCGACTCTCTATCTCCAGTAGTTTCCGAGATACCCATAGAGAACATCGTAGGAAACTCACCCTGTATATTTAAGATGGGAAATTATAAATAGGGTAAAGTTGAAAAGAAAATGCCAAATGGATATTTTCCACGGTGCAGTGTGTTGACCTCGGGAAAACTTTCTGAAAACTCAATTTGGTGAAACTTGGAAACCGCGTGATGCACGTATCGATCATGTAAACGTGGCTTTCTTAATTTATCCGACAACGAAACTGCAGGAAATTGGCGATCGATAGTTTCAACCTTTTGTTACACTTAAACATCAAAAGAACGTTACAAAGCAAAATATACACATAGGAAAAAGGGCATTTTCCTCAAATTTAGTGTTTCTTCACACTCGGTTTAGTGGTATATCGGAATTTGCGGGTTAGAGTTCGTGTCCGGCTTATTTTACTTTAAAACTTTTAAGAACATCGTAATGATAAAACAGACCAAAGATTATTAGTTGTTTATAATTTATTCTTATTTTTGTTCTCGGTAATCGGAGGTTTTTATTTTGAATTAAGGATAAGACATTATATATTTTGTAAATTTAGAAGTTTGTGAAATAACCGAGTATGGAGAAAATGTGAATTTTTTATTTAGAAGAGATAATTTCTACTATAGGTTCGTTCCAACACAGTAAGGAACCGTTCTCGGTACGCCAACGGTATTCCAATCAGAATTGTAATCGTTTGAGTGAACCGGTTCCGGAACGGTGATTTCGATATGCGATATTTCGAAAATGACTTTCTACATCGAGTGACTTATCATATGTCAACTTTTGACATTTTCAATTAAAAAAAGTAGCAATTAAATTTCAATCCGCAATCGCCATAGATGTAACGACAATTTGACACGAAATATCAAGTATAGGTACCAAATTAATCGTAAAAAATGCTTTTTTTACGATGTTGGCAATCATATTGGTCTATATAATCCTATTGACAGCCGCCCTGAATAAATGTACGGTCGTCATTCCCATCCACTGTCTAATATTTTTCAGCCATGATGTTCGTCGGCGTCCCTGACCTCTTCTACTATCTATTTTGCCCTGCAGTATTAATTGGATAAGTTGGTATTTGTCATTACGCATCACATTACGCAAGGTATGCCATTTTTCTCACTTTCACACTATGTATAATTTCTAGTACCTTTTGCATTTGTTGAATCACGGTGTTGTTTGTGACATGGTATGATAAGTGTATGAAATCCTGGCGATAGCACCACATTTCAAGGCTTCCAACTTTTTGGAACATCCTGTATGATTTTTTAAAAAAGTTAAAAATATGTAAAAAAACAAAATAAATTATGCGTGTCCAAGCCTTTTCCCGAAAGACTAACCGTTTTTTAAATAACAAATATTGTAATATTTGAGGGGCGTTTTCACCCTCTTGGATTTTGAGATTCGAGAAACCACTCCTTATCGCACCTCTACATCCCACAGTCAATCCGTTTGCCAAAAATCAGCTTTAAACGTCAAGCAGTTTAAACAGCATCGTGATTACTCAATGGTCGTATTTTATGACACACTGTGTATAATTTTTTAAAAAATCTGAACATATGTAAAACAACAAAATAAAATATACGTGTTCAAGAGTTTTTCCAAAAAACTCACCGGTTTTTAAATAAAAAATATTCTAATATTTGAGGGGTGGTTTCACCTCCTTAGAATTTTCGAAAAATCCCTTCTTATCGAACCTCTACACCCTAAAGTCAATCCGTTTTCCAAAAATCAGTTTTTTCTGTCAAGCGCTTTAAGCAGGATCGTGATTAATCAATGACCAGATTTTTCGAAACACCCTGTACACATTTTTAAAAAATATTGAAATATGTAAAAAAACAAAATAAAATATACGTGTTTAAGCAAAGATATTTAAACTCATATTTAAACCCGAGTTTAAATATCTTTGTGTTTAAGCGTCTTTTCGGAAACTTGACCGTTTTTTAAATAAAGAAATATTGTAATATTTGAGGGGTGGTTTCACCCTCTTGGAACTGGAATTTCGAAAAATCCCTTCTTATCGAACTTCTACACCCTAGAATCAATCTGTATGCCAAAATTGAGCTTCTTACGCTGAGTGGTTTGAGCAGGATCGTGATTAATCAGTGAGCCACTTAAGGATTTTATATATTTTAGTATAGATTCAGGTGCATATATTGGCATAGGATCTTTCTAAGACGGTTAAAAACGGGTCTGGCTTTTTCTATGCGGCATTTGATCTCTCGTGAGCGATCCCATTCTGTTGTTCGGGCTGCAGCCCAAATATGTGACTGTAACTGCTGTTTCCAAGGTTTCGTTATTGGCCCTAAACTGGTGGTACTGCGCCTCATCATTTTTACTAACTATTAGGATTTTGGTCTTCTTGCAGTTAAACCTCATACCATACATATCCCACATGCCTCTACTACTCGGTCTATTAATTTCTGCAATCCCTCAGTACTATCTGCTATGAGAATGAAACTGTATCGTCTGCGTACCTTAAATTATTAATGGTTTCTCCATTTATCTTAATGCTTTCTTCTGTTCCATTGAGTTCTAATTGAAACCATTAATTTATGCCACTAATTTTGAGGTTCTGAATGAAGCTGAAAAAAATGTTGAAACTGAAACACCCGGTGGTTTGTTTAAAAATCATTTAACTTAACTTATTCTCCCTGCTACCCCGAATATTCCTCACAATAAACATCTCCCCTTCTCCAATGCGTTCCAACGCACCCTCCGTGGGGTATCCCCCCGCGGTATCGCATCTGCGCCATCTGCCCGCCGGGTCGCGCCGGCCCGTCTACCTGCCAGCGACGCCACTGGCGACGCTCATTCGTCCGCGGAGCGACGCTCGAGACGACGCCGGAACAGTGGTGCCGCCGCCTCGTCCGCCCCCGCCTGCCGCATACGTCGGGATGCTCAGAGTAAGTCAAAAACAAACAAAAAAATCGCAATTTTTTATATAAAATGTGAGATTTAAATAAATGCAAATATTCTTAGGGGTAGTATATTACCACCCCAGAAACACGTCTATGAGGAATTTGTTTTTCGCGATTTATTTTATTGAAGTTAAAAAAACATAATTTCTAGATAATATGGCAACGTAGGTTGTAGATTAAATTTTCAAGAAATAAACCCCAGAAAAGATCCAAGCCAATGGTTCTCAAACCATTTTTTTTAAATTTTCAAAATAAGATAATTTGGATATTTTGGACTTCTTTGGAAAACAGTAAAGAGAAAATATGTTTCTTTTAGCCCCAAAAATATTTACACTTATTTAAGACTTGCTCTGTATCAAAAAAAAAGTAAAACTGCACATTATAAAAATGGTTCATTTTTATTATTATGTCTAAATATGAGTTTATAGAGGGTCCGGCAAAAGTGCGTCGGACATCTGTAGCTCCTAGAATAAAAAACTTGGGAATTTTGTTTGAAGTGCAAATCTAAAGTTTGTACTAGGATGTATTCCAGGAAAATTTATAATAAATAATATATTTTAACTACATAGGGTTACCAGATGAAAACTTCCAACCCGGGCACGTCTTCCCAAAGATCCGGACTAAATCCGGACGTCATTAAATTTTACTTGTGTTTGATTATTAAAATAATCATGTTATATTGATTGATTATTCAGATTTAACATCTATTTATGTTCTACCTTTTATATCATTACGATCTTTGACCTGTAAGGGCAATCTTGGGTACAGATTTTAATCTTTTTCCCTTTAACTATATATAAACAAAAAGGTTCATGAATCTTCGTAATAAGTCAAGTCAAATTTAAATATTTATTATTCGAATATAACCAAGACCGTCTCTAAAAAGTATTCCTTTTATATTATAATTGTTTGAATGATATTTGAAAAGATATAATTTGATTTTAAACAAGTTTTAAGATAGAGTTTCTTAAATATAATTCTTGTATATTAATGTACATAACTGCTGTGCCGAATAGGTACCGAATATTTCTAACAAGTAATAAATCTTATTTTTTTGGGTATTTGAATTGTTTCATTGGTAGATCCGGTCTCTCAAAATATTTAATAGCTATACTAATTTTAGTTTCTATTCAATTAATACACTTGTACAAATTTTCTTATTTCAGTTTGTACTATCTTTTGTAAGTATTAGCATCTCTTTGAAATAAGTGGCGCCCTTTGGTATGCAGTGTAAGGTATAGGTGGGTATCATTTTTTTTAGTCAAGTGCAGAAGCAAAAGCTTGTTCCCACCGCCTCCGATATAAGAGTAGCCGTTCGCAATATTTTGACTTAAATTTTCAATAAAAGGAAAGTTTGTGTCACAGGAGTTAGGAAACATTTTTAAAATAGCCGAATTTTTTTTTTCAAATATCTAGTAAGCTACAAGCTGAACAAGCTCATTTTCAGTGCACTTTATTAAGATAACATGACGGAAAGCAAAATTTATCTGGTTCAATTAAATTAAATAAAATAATACTTTTTTAAATTAGGTTGATTTATGTTAAAAAAAAAATAATGCATAGTTCACCTTATTTATGAAAATAAGTAGAGTATACTCTAGAGTATACTATAGTATAGAGTATTATGAAAATAAGTAGAAATCTCTCATAACAAGGCAAATAAAATTAAAACAATAATATACAGGGTGTCCGTGGAAATGGAGTCATATTTGAAAAATGACAGCTTCCACCGAAAAATTAGTTACGCCACTGCATTCTATGTAAAAAATTCTGCGGGAATCAGTTTTCACCTTTTCAATATCATATTTCACATAGGCCTGTAAACGTAGCCGAGTATGTAAAGGTGGAAAAAATTAGTAACCAACCAATCTCAACGGGATTATGTAGATAATATGATCTCCTATTTAACCCCTCAAAAGTCCCATTCGGTCCCAGTGGGGGAAGTTTTGTTCGATATAGGAGCAAAAATAGTATATTGTTTTATTAGGAGTAAAAATGATACTTTTTGCGGCGAGGCTGTACAGGGTGGGTCAAATTCGACGCTTTTAAATGGAAACACCCTTTTCTATAGGAGATAGACAAAAACTGATATCGGTGTCTGGAGCTCAATTTTTGTCAAAAACGTGATGGTGAAAACCGCATATCGATATCTGTTACCGTTTCGGAGTTACGGGGTGTTTTTCAAAAATATGCAATTTTAACAAATCGCTTTAACTTTTTTACTATGGAAAATTTTGTATTTTTATGAAAACATTTCCAAAGCACCTTTTTACGTAGAATTTAATGGTTTAAGTATAATTTTTTTAAAATTAATAATTTAAGAATTATCAACAGAAAATTTGATTTTTTATATGGGACACCCTGTATATTTTGAATTTATTGAAAAGAATTTAAAATTACCTTTCAAAAACATAACACACTTGATATTTTGCTCGATTCCTCTTCGAGATATAGAGTATATAAAAATTCGCCCCCTTTAAATAAGTAGGCTTTGAACGGCACCGGGTGTAATTCAAAAAAATCTAGCATCAATTAAAACGAAAATAATATTTGCTATGAGAGATGCAGCATTTTATAACAATTTAAAATATATTTAACCAACATCAACACATTTAAACTATATCTAATAACAATAAAAATAAATAGCAAACCAAGACATGAGATTTTGTTACAGGTGTTCGACATTCTGTTATGGACAGACGGGACAGTTTTTGAACATTTCTCGAGGAATTCATTAACTCAGTGGGGGTGAAAGATACCCTCTCATAACTGCTAAATATTTCTAATTCTTGTCTAGATTATACGGAAGAATAAGGAACCTTTATTAATAGGATTAGATCCATGGGTACTAAGTCAGGCGGCCTCGACGGCCAACGGCTGGGATCTTGGTTAGCTATTCAATTATTCTTGAAACTGGCTGCAAAAATTTGCTGATAACTTCACCGTTCAGAGGTGGTGCGTCGTCTTGCTGGAAAAATATGTTTTCGAGTTCCATTAAGGGCATATCATCAATAAGGGGTCCAGAGCCTACTAGTTAATAGTGGCGAACTTTTAAAAATTCTGTATTTCAAAGGGGATTATAACAAAATATCAAGTGTGCTATATTTTTGGAAAGGTAATTTTAAATTCTTTTCAGTTAGTTAAAAATATAGAGGGTGTCCCAAATAAAAAATCAATTTCTCTGTTGATAACTCTTAAATTATTAATTTTAAAAACATTCTACTTAAGCCATTAAATTCTGCGTAAAAAGGTGCTTTGGAAATGTTTTCATAGAAATACATAATTTTCCATAGCAAAAAAGTTACAGCGATTTGTTAAAAATGCACATTTTTTAAAATAAAAATCCGAAGTTCCAAATAATATAAAAATATTTAAAAGTAATACCTTGTATGTAATTCTAAATCGAGAAACTATGGTTACGCTCGTTCAACTTGACACTTTATGTCAGTTTAATAATATATTTTTGTACTTTTGTGCTTAGGCCTTTTCCTTAGGCGTAAAAGTGCTTTACTTTTATGCCTAGGCGTTAAAATAACTTTTTTATATTGTCAATCACGTCGCAAAAATTAATACTTTTGTGATGTTTGTAAAAAAAATTATAGAGGAAAAATTTAGCCATAAAACATTTATCATTAAATTACTAAAAATATTAAAGTATTAAAATAATGTAATAATAACATAAAAAATATCACGTGACGGTTCGTATTAATATATTTTTATTTTTATTTTGGAAAATTATTCCAGAATAATCTAAATAAATAGCAGCAATGTCCTCATTCATATCCATAACAAAAGCCAGATGGAAAAAAAGTGTCAATAATCCTAAAATTTGCCGTTCACGTAAAATAACAAAATAAAAGTATCACGGGTGAATGGAAATACGTATATGACCCTTTTTTTGTCTCTTCCTATCCTAAATAAAACTCAGAGGTCACAAAAATAAAATCACACTTCACTATAAGTTGAATGAACTAGCATTACACAATTAATAAATAACAATCGCGTAGAAAAAAAAAACAGATAGTAATAGAGAAATATAACAATAAAAATATACAGAGTGAGTCTTAAATAAGCGGAAATATTTTCAGGACTAGTAGATCTCGATAAAAGAAACATTATTTCTTTTTACCGTTTTTCAAAAGTCCAAAGTTCAAAAGTCCAAAATAACCAAGTTATTTTATTTTGAAAATTAAAAAATATATTTTCGCTTAAATTTTGAGAACCACTGGATTTTTTTCTGTATTTTCTTCTTTGTAAATTTAATCTACTACATGTGTTGCCATATTATCAAGATATTATGTTTTTTAACTATAAATTAAAAAAAATCCAATTTTTTGTCAAAAAATTCCAATTTTTCAAATTATTTTTTCGCGAAAAAGAACTCATAGACGTGACCGAATTCAACTGTTGATAAAATTTGTTAAAGTACGTTAAATTAACAAAGTAAGTTTACTTGGGTAAATACCGGGTATAATGGTATTTACCCAAATTCAGTATGCCATGGGTATACTGAATTACCCTTTGGGTATATATCGGGTGCAAGGCCTTGGGTATTTAACCAAGTTTCAATATATCGGGTATTTGCCCATCAGTAAGAAATAACTTCCTTAATTTTATATTATGCAAAAAAATTATCACTGCATAATAATGAGGAAAATGCATGTTTTTAAATAATGGTTTTAAAAAATAGTTCATATAATTACAAACTGAACAAAAAAAATCGTTGATATCGGTTAAGAAATGCCTCTAATATAAAATAATTAAATATTGTTAATTTAAATGGCCGGGCAAACGCTCTCTACCGCGCCTTGCCGCTGTGACGTCACCCGCCGTTCTTCTGGTTGAGTGGAGCCAGACGCGTGTTTATTTTACACAGTTTGCTTTTAAACGCTGTTGAATCCGAGTCAAAATTTTAGTTATTTGTGTTAATTAATACATAATTAGTAATTAGTGATATTTATAAATCGTAGTGGATGAGCGAAAAC